ATCTTTGTTTTATTGTTTTGTATGTTACAATTCAGTGCTGATTTTCAGGTTGGGGGAGGGTCCAATTAAAAACAAAAAAAAAAAAAACATGATTTGCTTTCCTCAAAGCCTTGTGCTTTAATTACTTAACTGAATGCGACTGAGTTTTCATAAAATTAGTTAGGCGGGGTTAATATAATATATATATATATATATATATATATATATATATATATATATACATACACACACAGTGTAACCCGGATATAAGAGAGTTGTCGGGACCGGAGAAGAAGTCTCTTATATCCAGGTTTGGTCTATTTTGTTTAGGTAAGTATGGGAACACTTCATATAACACTTTTTACGTACAGAACACTAGTTTATTTAACAGTTATAGACGTAAAAAAACACAGACAAAAATACATTTTCAATCAGTTTTCAAAGTAATTTAATCAAAAATTACTTTTTCTTAAAAAAGTCAGTCATTTTTGATTGTACAGAAATCTCTCTGTTAACATCATGAACACTTTCATACAGTCCGTAAATCATTTTCAATGCGCCATCAGGATTACTGCTTTTTGCTTCAAAGTAGGCTGTCAGAGTTTCAAGCGTATTCAATGCAGCCAGAGAATTTGGCACTGGTTTGTCACTTTGAGAAACTTCAGAACTTACGCTTTCAGCATCATCATCTTCGTCAAAATCTTGATCATCCGATTTTATACCACGTGTGATGTCCGTGTCAGTCAGTTCTCCATAACATTGTGTACGGTCGTCGAAGCTGATAAATTCGTCAAAATCTGTTTGCCGTGGTTTTGCTGACTTACCAACAACTACAGTTTGCTTTTCACTGCCGTCCATGTTTGTGAACTCTATCGTGAGTCTGTCTTTGGGAACTTTTGTCCCATTTGACTGTTCGTCGCCGGCAAATCGCAAAAGATCCAGATGGCATGGCTTTGTAGAAAAATTCCCGTTTCGTCACAGTTCCAAACATCTTTTGGATCATATCCACGAAAAAGTTGCGGCAAAACGTTTGTCACCCATTCGTTGGCAGAACCGTGATCTCCTGACGTTGATTCGCCGTGAAATTTTTTGAACGAAACGTTATTGGCCTGCTTGCTCGGTTCAAAATCAACTTCAAGATTTATGGCCAGTTGTGATGCTTTCTGCCTGATGATGTGATCGGTGACGGTAGCTCCATGAGCACATGCTTGCGTAAACCATTGTGTAAGCGCTTCGTTAACACTCTTGTGCATGGATTGGTGCTTTCGTTTGCGATTAGTGTTTCCGTTCATTTGCATGCAAGATCTGAGATTGTCTTCTTTCTTGAGAATTTTTGCTGCTGTTGAATAACCGATTCCGTACTTTTTGGCTGCAACGGCCAGTTTGAGTTTCTTCACTTTGACATCGTCGATGAGCTCCAACTGTTCAGAAATGCTCAGAGTTTTTCGTTGAGACGCCAACATCACTAATCGCAATGATTGCAAGCAAACGGTTTTCAGTGGCAAAATTAACAAACAGACAAACTTCTGACTCAACAGAACAGTGGGTAAAGTGAAAGTGCTGTCCAGTAAATGCAACGACAAACAAAAAAGTCGGCCAAAAAGCGGGCGGCGCTACCCTTAGACACACAAAGCAAAATCATAAGGTAGAGAGTGTCTCCTACAGACACAGATTGGACATTAGTCAAGATTAAGTCATTGAACTTCACTCTCTCTCTAACTGACCTCTGTTTGACCGATTTACGACATCATACTGTCACTCAAAACGAACGCTCTTATATCCGGGTCTAATTTATATACATTAACACAGGCTCTAATTTGGGGCCAGAGAAAATCTCTCTTATATCCGGGTTACACTGTGTGTATATATATATATATATATATATATATATATATATATATATATATATATATATATATATAAAATATTCAGGAAGAAAACATAATAATTTCCATCATTTGTGAATAGTTTCTGAAAGTTTCATTAACATACGATAATTGTTTTTATTTTTGAAAGATTTTCCAAATTAACCTGTCATACAAAAAAAACGTGCTAAAAATTTATCTTACTAGTTCTCATGAAGGTACCTAGAAAATAAATAAATTACGACTCATGCAGCGTGTTAAAAAACGAAGATATATAAATAAAAATGTCGTTTAAAGCAAGTTGAACGAGTAAACTTAGAAAATTCGTTTATAACGTGGTAAATTAAAGGTATGAGATTAACAATTAAAATTAAATTTACTTTTTTTGATCATTACGAAAAAAAAAAATTAAGACGGAAAGAGGGGTGAACAATATTGCTAAGTCGTTTAACAAGAATTAGTCACAATTACTTAATTCACATATAGTACAATAGTTGGTGACATAAAAAGTTAAGAGAGATAAAAAAATGGAAGTCAAAAGGACTTTCTATTAAGGTAAGCGATAAAGAATGAAAATGGGGGGAAAGATATGCCTTTCATGCTAAAATATCGAAATAAACAGTTATGCTATATAACTCTTTCAACATTTAAGCAACAAGTAAGAAAAAAATAAAATAATGATAATGCATAAAGATAAAATAGATGAGTTAGAATTAGATAAATAAGTTAAAATTGAGAATTGTAAAAACACCAAAAAAAAAAAACCCTTTCATTTATGCTTTCCTTCCGCCTTCTCGAGGAAGGAAGGAAAGGAATTGTGGAGGATCGTAATACAACGGCTAGTTAAAGAACCGTATATAACATTTTACAGCTGTTTTCCAACTACTACACAGACCAAATACAGCATTTATAATTAGTTATAAGCTGTGACATATCTTTATAATTTTTATATAATATACAATTTATTTGCAAAATTACACTCTGCGTAAAAAGAATTTACAAAAAAAAACGCTGTTTCCATCTATCTTGAATTTAGACTTTTTTCCTCTGATTGTTTGCTCGTTTTATTTAGCCATAACCATTTTAGCTATTCTTTCTGCTGTCTCAGTAATGGTTTGGATAGCCTTTCGTTTTTTTTTGTTCCCACTATCTGTTAGGGGTGCTGACTAGTGATTTTGTTACGAAACCAAGCCCTGCATGACCCGTGGCAACAGTACCCAGTAACACTTTTTCGCGAAGATTCTCTTCTGCCAATTTCAACTTCTTTACCACGTTCCATTTTCTCCCAGTGTAGACTTCAATATTTGCTCCTGCCACTTTTGGATCCTTGGAGAAAATTTATTTCAAAGAACAATTATTAAATAATTTCCTAGTTAAAGGGTAAAAGCAACTCTTACTTTTGCATCGTAAAATTTCTGTACCAAAACTAAAAGACAGTTTTGTTTGAGGAACATTTTAATTTAAATATTTTTATTTGTTCAATTATATTACTGAACTTTGAAACTCAGCCTAGCTCAGCTAAATATTCTGAGCAGTTTATTCTTAATAATTGTATTATTTCTATATAAATATTTTGTTACTGTTTTGCATGTTGTCATCCTTGTGCCATACATAAATTAAATTTAATTAAAAATGCTTCTGGAGGAGTGAAGTTTTACACACGCAGCCGACCTTATGTAACTAAAAAAAAACCTTCTGATCACTTTTCAAACTTATTTCACCTTCTCCGCAACAGGCCCGTCTATCGGTATATCTGTTTATCTCAGAAGCACAACAAAGAGGCTTTTTAAATGATTGAGAAACAACTCCATTCTTTCAAATGGAGAGAGAACATGAGCACACCCATCACACAAAAAGTACTTCACTCTCAAATAAAATTACGAGATGGGCGCTAAAAATTTTTCTTAAAACTCTACCTTATGACCAAAAATATCAGTTTTTCTTGGTTGGGTTGATAACTTATTTTCTGTGTAAAACTGTAAAAGTTCTAGAATTTGGGCCATAATTCTCATGAGCAAAAATTAAAGTAATTTAGTGAATACACTTAAAAAATGTGCTCTAAAACTAAAAGATATTCAGTGGTTGATTTTTATTTTTACTACTCGAAGCTGCGAAGCATACAGAAGTTGACTGGTTCAGATTTTGTAGGGATGTGTGCTGTTATACCGCTGGAAAAGAAAAAAGAAAATAAACAATTGGATAAAATTGATAGATCCAGACAAAATAGGGAGATGAAACATTGATTGTAAAAAGAAAATATAACCGCGGTCGAGTGCTTCATCGAAAATGGCTCTTTGGCATGGAGGAATTGAGAGAAATTCTGGAAAATTTAATTACTTTGTAAAATTTGTTTCTGATAGATCGCGAGTAGCACTCCCGTAGCAGTCATCCAAAGAAAGACGTATTGAACAAAGTTCTAAGATCATTAGTCATGGTTGGTCTGCATGCGCTAAAAAAAATTGATCTTTGGGGGGGGGGTACAATAATCACACAGTTACAAATGAAACGTAATTCATGAAAATTTTGTTGATTTCCAATTTTAGATAAATAATAGTTCATGCTAAAAAAAAAAAAAAAATAGAGAAAAAACTGGCTTCATCTAAAAAGTGTTCTCTCAGAGAAAAAGGAACCAACAAGCATCCGCACGAATGGATGTGAATAAGACCTGAATTTGAATATTTCGAAAAAAAAAAAAAATAAATAAAAATAAACGTCGGAAACGATAAATTTAACTCGCAAATTATAACCTGGATTCTTTTACTCTTTTCTACACCTCCTACTGTTGTAAATTAAATAAATTCACGTTTCTAATTTCAATGTGTAAAAATGTGAAAGTTTATTTAAAAATTCGTAGTTACAGCCATGAATTTACCACCTTGTTATCATCGATTTCATAGATTGGGAATTCGAATGTTTTTTGTTTTATACGCAACAAATCTCTTAGTCACATTTTTGTCCCAACGTAAAACTAAAAGAGTAATCAATAACGCACGGCGTGAATAAATGAAACAAATTTTGACATTTTTAGTTTAAAAGAGACTCATCATCCATGTTGTTCAGTCACCAAAAAATAGATTGGATTTTTTTTTAGTTCTTTAAATAATAAAAAAAAATCTAAAAAGTTTACTTTTACTTACAATGAAGATCGCTACTTACTTTACAGGCAGTGATTGTATCTGGTGAAGAGCACCACAAACTCGGAGGGACGTGGCATAATTCTGAAGACAAAGCAAATTCGGTGAAAATACACGTGGCAAATATTAAAAATAAAATCCAAGGTGATGACATTGTTTTATTTTATATGCCAATAATGTACGTCCTTTAATAAATGTATAAAATCAGGAAATAAAAAAAAAAAATGCTATCTGACAGAGGAAAGAAAAAAAGGAAATCACCACTATTGGTATAAAAAAATGATTGGACAATAAATGGAATATCTCAAAATAAACAAAACAAGCAATAGCGATTTACAAAGCGAAGCGTAGATGTGGCACAAAGACAAAGTATGGAGCATCCAATGAGGGTCGAAGCCACTATTCAGTTGCAATTGATCTAGCGAGACAAGCTTGCTAGCCATTACACTACGGCGAAGTGTTTTACTCTTTTTTTAAAAAGCAATATCTACTTAAGCCGAACTCATAAACAATCTCGATACTTACTTCAATGATTAAAGGGAAGTAACTCTCAATTTCGAGATTATATTTGTTTATGTTTAGAGTCTGGGATTACACCACTCCACTTTATTTATTATTTCGACTATATACTGTATTGAGGTCACCTTACTTGATTGTAAGACAAATCTTTTTTTTTTTTTACTTTACTATTTTACTTAGTTTACTATGACTTTAAAAAAAAATTTCATAGTAAACTAAGTAAAGTAGATTTATAGACAGAAAAAAAGTTAAATAGGAATAAATTAAATTTACAATATTTTTAATTAAAATATTGTAATGCATTTTTTAAAATAAAATAAGTAATATTTTATTTAATATTGCGATTAAATGAAAATTAGACACTTCTTAAATAGACTTAGCCTGTAAAACTTTTGGGGAACCTTGGTAAATTTTTTTTGTACTTGTCCGTCTCGTTATATACGTTTAGCATCCTGCTATCACTTTTCTTTCAATGTCAATTTTTGTGCAAAAAGTGGATAACAGTGCCTTGATATTTTTCTCTCTTTGTCAGTTAATATTTAAATCATGTTCTTGTAGTGACTTGGTAATAAAAATGGATAATTGTAGATGTCTGTTTGTTGATAAGGATAGATGTTTGTTTACGGCTGCGTGAATAACATGACCACAAAATTTATATTAAATGTAAAATACCACAAAGCATGAAATACAAGAAGGAACAAAATGGTTTTCAAAACAACATTTGTATTTATTTGTGTGTTGATGTACATGCGTAGAAGTTAAAGATCTGTTGGAGTTATGTCTCTTAGACTGAATATTTTTATCTGAACTCACAAAAATTGAAGTAATTATAAAGCTGAGAAATACTGAATAAACTTTTAGAAGAATATGTCAAAGAGAAAAGTTCTTGTATGTTTTGAAATGTTCTGTATGTTTGTAATGTAGGTTGGAAAAAGTTCGTACGTACGTGCATGCGTGAATGCTTTTAACGTCTGACCATCCGTGGTCAAGACGAGAATCCTTAAGATCACATCTTCGCAGGAATTTGGAAGAGTAAAAATATTTCTGTAGAAATACACAGAAAATGTGGCACAAGGCCTAAAAAGGGGAATGAGGAAAAGGACGGTGATCGTCAGTCTTAATTTTAAAACTTAGCTAGCCACAACCACTGACGCAAGCACACAAACAATCCTAGCACCAAAACAACACATTCTTACTTACCTTTCTTACAACATCCACCAAAATACCTCATTGTCTCATTGAAATCCTAAATAGTCCCCATATGTACAAATTCTCGTCTGTGGTGGGAGGGGAATAAAAAAAACAACAAGTTAAAAAAATCCCCAATGTGTATATACAATGTGAATTTAAAATATTTACAAAAACTAAACAAAAATTATGTTAGTAATACCCCCCCCCCGCCAAACCTTAAATATGGCAGAAATATCAGTTACCTGGACGAAATCGATGCGGGACTATAATAATGTAGAAACATTCATCCACCCCAAGCACTCACACAGACACAAACAACAAAAACGAAAAAACACACGCGCGAAACTAAACGCGCGCCGCAACCACCAGAGAACTGACATTACTGACCATCTAACGAGGTAGGGGATGGGGAGTTAAGCTAAAAGGAAAATGGGGCAGAAATAAAAAGGGCCAATGAGCAAAGACGCCCTAGTTAAGTTTACTGGGAAAAAAAAAAAAACTAAAGAATCAAAACCAAAAAAGCTACACTAGCCAAAAATCCAGGGATGGGTTGCCCAAGTTCAACCCAGGAAAACAATATTCTAATGCCTAACAGGCATCAAAATACCACTCTAGGTCAGCCCCTTTTACTCGGTACAATCGCGCGAGATTTACCCACCTTTTGCCAAATTCTGATGAGGTGAGCCGCCGCCTTTCCGTCCTAATCTTGACTTTAAGCTGATGCTTAAAGTACAAGATCAGTTGGGAAGAAGTGAACTTCTCGACATCATAGAATTGCTTTTGACGCCTCGTCCAAATCGCGACTCTCATAACACCTAGTAAGTAACATAATGTTCAGCCTTCGTCATCTGCGGCACCACATTGCTACAAACAGGACTTGAAGCATGCGAACCATGAGGCCTTCAACAAACTTGCACAACGGCGCTACCACCCTGCAATGAAAGAAGGCGTGACCAATGGTCTCCACTTTCCCAATACATCGACGGCAGTTTGGAGATTTCTCCAAGCCCGCTGAACAAAGTCTTTTGGCGACCCAGAGGGCCCTACGAATCACCAGCCAGGTGAGTGATGCCTCGTCGTTATTGAGGCATTTCAACCCAGGTGCCCAAGGCCATATTGAGCGAGCCTCCTGCCTCGTAAGACCGAGCTCGTCAATCAGCTCATCACGAACGGATATTTGATACAATGCCCTACGAGATAAAGCCTGGACGTTGAAGAGGCCATCTGACGCCCATAAAAGGCGTTTCAGAACACGTGGTAGAAGGAGCATTCGGCTCGGGGTGTACGACCAGCCTCCTCCTCACTCGAGTGCACACTTCTCAGGGATGGGAAGTTTCTACGGACGTCTTCCTTCCAGAAGGCGCCCTCCTCATCCGATTCGCGACACATTCGGTCTAGGAAGGCGATGCGAAGCATATATTGACGAATCTCAATGCTAGGCATACCCAGACCGCCCTCAGATGGATGAAGGCAACAGATCTCCCGAGATACCATAGCGGCCTTGTCTCTCCACGAGAAAGAGAACAAGAGCCTTACTAATGATATTAGTGCGGTATACGGGAGTGGAAGTACAGAGAGTCGGTAAAGGAGAATCGGGCAGATGTGTGAAACACATACTTCCGCCTTCCTCTTCAAGGAAAGTCTCCTCCGAGACCACAAATTAATTGCGATTTCAGACTTCCCTTGTACCTCCGACCAATTCATTTCCAACTGGAAATCAGGACCGAACCAAACGCCGAGTATCTTGACCAGCCCACCCGTCTAGAGGAAAGGTCCGGGAAGAGAAACTCCCTTCCACACACCCAACCGCAAGCCAACAGACTTATCGCGTTTGATCTTGGCCCCTGTCACCATATCATAACCACTGATCGCTTTGCTGACTTCGCCAGTCCCGGTTCTCCTCGACACTAGAACCGAAACATCATCAGCATAGGCAGAATATCTTGCCGAGATGGTAGCATCAGGTAGGGAAATTCCGCGCAGGACCGGATTCGCCTTTAACTTGCGAAGGAAAAGTTCCAACGCAAGAACGTAAAGCAAATGCGAAAGCGTGACAATACGAAAGGCTCCGATCTTACCCCATTCACTTCCATCAGCGCACCGGGAGTGGCATACAAAAAGTCGGATCCAGGAGCGAAAGTCCGGCCCGAAATGACCGCCGAAAGGACAGCCTCCAGGAAACGATGGTCAACCCTATCGAAAGCCTTGGACTGATCTAAATTGATCATCGTGGCTTCTCTGTCGACTTGTTCTAAGATCTAGCGTAACATATGAAAGTTGTCCTGAATAGTTCTGCCCTTCACAGTACAAGCAAGTTCGGATCCAATCAAACTAGACAGGACAAGCTGCAAACGGTTGGATCTTCGCCAAAATCTTCAACTCTATGTTTAACATGGTTAAAGCGCGAAAGTTATCTATTCCATCCCCCCCCCCACAAAAATGTCCTTAAGCAGCAACTTGATCACACCCCTGGTGAAGCGTTGAGCTATAGACCCCTGCTTCATCCAGTTATAGAAAATCAGTTCCAGCAAAGGAACAAAAACGGGCGACTGCCTCAAGTAAACTTCATAGGGAAGACCATCTAGTCCCAGAGATTTATCCAGGCCAACTTGTTTCAGCGCTTCCCAGATTTCCGATTCTGTGATGGGACCCTCGCACCATGCTGCTTCAGCTGGCAAGGAAAGTCGGCTAAATAGGCGTCGAACTGAGCAGGGCTCAGACCGGGCTCCTTGGTGAAAAGTTCCTGAAAGTAATCCCGAAAAGCCTCACATATGCCTGCGCTTGTAGTCACGGTCCGCTTATCCAGCAATGTGACGCACGTGATATGTCGCCGAGACGCGCTCTGATTCTCCTCTGCACGCAAATTCAGCGGCCATGTTCGTTGCCTCAGAGGACATTCGTTTTAACCTAGCCCTAACTACCAGAGCTTGATCCTTCTTGATAAGCAAGGAGGACAACTCTGCCTTAGCTAAGGCTATTTCCCTCACTATCACGGGATTTAACTGCCCGATCTACTTTTTGTTCTAATGCCGTTTGCGCCGCTAATCTATCTAGATTGAGTCGGCGACTAAAATCAGCAGCAAACGTTCTAATTTTGGATTTTAATTTATCCCACCAGGCGTCCCCTACAACGGTCCCCGTCAATTCCCTCTATCATTAGTAGCAGCTGGTCCCGGAAATCCTGCTCATCAAATAATGAACTGTTTAATTTCCAGTAGCCAGCCAACTTAACCTTAGGCTTATCTAAGTTTACACGGACCCGGACAAGCCTATGATCCGAATAAACTATATAATGGAAACTTGGACACCCTAAGAGCCCTACATCGACTCTCCTAGCTAGGACTCGTCGAGGTAGCTAGCACGCGTGCCACTATTTGTCCAAGTCCAAGCTACCTCCCGAGGGTTCTCATTCCGGTATCAAGATCAAACCTGTCGATAAAGTCC